TTAATGAGCACACCGTGTTGTGTTTGTCATGTGGAGATGACATCACACCCGAAGCGGTCTTACTCATTTGATGCTATGATAGTGTTGCCCATAAACAGTCAGTAAATGACACTCCGTTAGAATTCCTAACTCGCTTAACATAAGGGTACAGTTAAGCCCTTGACATAGCACTTAACCCAAAACTAACCGTTAAAACATAACGCGACCCACAGACAGAAAAGCAACCATTCAGAAATGTTACCAATAGACTAAGTACTTGTACGAAGTACCACCGTCCATAACCAGTAACGCCATTAAAAAACTGGCGCGAATTTCAAATTTCTTCAGCAAGCAGACGTAAACAGACGCCCCATTTGTATTTGGCATTGTAAACCCGTGTTTTTCACTGGGTATTGAAAGCCCGCCGGGAATGAATAATATCCCCTTGTGTGCGCCCCGGCAAAGATGACGAACGAGGCAGTAGATGGAAGAGTAGACTAGTCCGCTGACGGAGGGGTGTCAGGTTACGCTTATCTCTGTCTCGTTTATCAATGGAAGTGTGAAACGTTTTTGGCTGGAGAGTATAATTTTACGACACGCAAAGTTGAAGAAAGTCTATTGACAAAAAAAAAAGTTAGTTTTTTAAAAGTGTGGGAACGGTAGGGGGGTCTCGCCATCCCATATTGTAAATGTGTTGTTTTGTTAGAAAAGTGCTTTAACCTTCATGGTGACTCCCCAGATACCTTTTTACACGTATGCTTTAAATACGTGTATTTAAAAAAACCACCTGTCCTACCTTTTATAATATAAAATAAATGAAACTATAAACATTGAAACTACAACGCAGACTGTTGAATTATTATACTTAAAATTTTCAATGGACGAAAAATTATTTTTTTAAAATGTATATCCTGTGAAAATGGGATCGAACGAGGATATTTTCTGATGCATCAGCTGTTATTTGTTTATATGTCCAAGTTATGTTATAGTTGCTCGCCATTTCATATGTGGACGATCACTGGTGCATGTGTACTCACGCTGAGAGGGTGGTTGATAGTAGATGTGTTTTAGGGCACATCCGTAGACACAATGTGACAAATCACATGGTGAATAGATCTATGTAGATGTTCACCACTAGCTTTGAGCGATGTGAGCGATGTTTGCAATGTGTGTATCGCGGCAACAAAGTAAAACTTGGCTAAATAACAACATGACTCGTGTTGATACTTGAGATGTAAAACAACTGTTTTAGGTCAAAGGTTAAAGGTTTTAGAAGTGGACGTTTCAAAAACTTTTTGTCACACTGGGAGGGGGGGGGGGGGTGGCGTGATGGTGGTAGGGATGGGTTTGTGAAGTGGGATGGTGCAGATGTAGTGGGATGGTGTGGATGTAGTGGGATGGTGTAGATGTAGTGGGATGGTGTAGATGTAGTGGGATGGTGTAGATGTAGTGGGATGGCGTAGATGTAGTGGGATGGTGTAGATGTAGTGGGATGGTGTGGATGTAGTGGGATGGTGTAGATGTAGTGGGATGGTGTAGATGTAGTGGGATGGCGTAGATGTAGTGGGATGGTGTAGATGTAGTGGGATGGTGTGGATGTAGTGGGATGGTGTTGGTGCAGTCGGATGTTGAAGGACGGTAGGATGTGGTGTGATGGTGTGGGTGTAGTGGGATGGTGTAGATGTAGTGTGACGATTATAGGCATGGGTTTATGAAGTGGGATGGTGTGGATGTAGTGGGATGGGGTTAGTACAGTCGGTTGAGGTGCTGAAGGATGGTAGGATGTGGTGGTATGGTGTTGGTGCAGTCGGATGTTGAAGGACGGTAGGATGTGGTGTGATGGTGTGGGTGTAGTGGGATGGTGTAGATGTAGTGTGACGATTATAGGGATGGGTTTATGAAGTGGGATGGTGCCAATGTATACGTGATGGTTGGGGTAAAACTGTAACCCTCTAACAAATTAAACCCCCCCCCACCTCTACACCCATGTAAACCACCCCTCCCCACCAATGTTATCCACCACTCCCCACCAATATAAACCCCCCCCCCCCCAACCCCTGCCACGTCAAGCACCTCCTGCCTGTTTTGAAATATTCTGAGGGCTAAAAATGTGTCGAGAGCCGTGAATTATGGTGACATGTGGCTGAAGTATCCGTCTACCCGTACCTCGGGGAGGGGAGGGGGGGGTGGGGCGATGCTGAGAGGTCTAACACGTAGACGCCGCGACATACAGACATGCACTCATGCTCGTACAAGCCAAGTGTTCGTGGAATACCCAACATAAATAAATCAACCTACTCACACGGGCGCGGGGGGGGGGGGGGGGGGGGGGAAGGGAGGTTGAGTAACTCGCGGGGATTTCGCCCTCGCTGTATATCCAACCTCGGCAGTTTTTTTTGTTTGTTTTTTTTTTATCGAAGATTCGAGAACTTACGTTTTTGTTTCTTCTTCAGCCCTTCCCACTGCCATCATTATTGCCACCCCCCCCCACACACACACACAAACAACCTCATTATTTTTTTTACCATTGAACCCTTTAAAACTTATCTGCTAATTTTTTATGCTGTTATAAGTCGAAGTCAAAGAGATAGCGGCAACAGATGGTAGCAGCTTATGTTTGAGTAGTACCTTTTAAAAAAAAAAAAAAAAAAAATAATCGGGACCTATGTCTAATTTGTAATCCGGGCCCCCTTTTTAGTAATAAAAATGGGGGCCCATGTCTAAAAATGATCCGGAGGTCAGTTGACTAGTATATCACGAGTCCAGTGTATATCGTTACAACACTAGAAATATATCAGGGCAGGTAAAATGAAGGGTCTCTGCAGCTTGATCATCCCCCCTCCCCTCAACCCTAAACCTTAACTTAAAAATAATACGTTATTTCCAATAACGCTATCACCCCCCCCCCCCCCCCCCTACGAGTGGCCCCCGTCAAAGCTCGTCTCTCTCACTGTATGCTGATGATCACCAACAATGCAATGTCATCGCCACATTACCATTTATAGAGTCCGGCGAGTCACGATTATTGCCCTTCTGCTCATACACTACTTGAACATTGGCCCTGGTCACATGATACCCGTTCAATGAATGGAGTACACGTGTGTCGATGACGTCACGAACAACTACCGCAAAAATCGATAACAATCGTATATCAAATTGCTTTTTGTTGAAATAACATGATTTAAAGAAAAAATAGATGGTAGGCTATACTCTCCAGAGTGGTAGAGTCAGTGTCGGGATACTGTATATATATATATATATATATATATATATATATATATATATATATATATATATATATATATATATATATATATATATATATATGTGTGTGTGTATGTGTGTGTATGTATAGAAAGTGTATAAAAATAAAACAAGTATAAACACCTTTAAAACAACAAACTTTTAAATGTACTAAAAAAAGAAACTTTCTTTTGATATAACAGTAAAAGTTTAGGTCACTGACATGTGGTAGGGATGTCACTAATTAGACAAAAATTTAGATATTCTTGCGCTGTCATCGGGAATGAATTGGCCTGGAATGTTGGAAAGAAAACGCAGCAACATGAGTTACTAGATTGTACCACAAAGGAACCCACCCACAGACTAAACGATGTAAAAAAAAAGAGATGGCTAGTGAAAGACCTGAGTTTATTCGTTCATTGAACCGTGAAAGGTCAAGTTAAAAATAGAACGGCCCAAAATGGGTAAAGAAATGTACCATTCATTCAGAGAGCGACTTTAAATTTAAATGTAGTCTTAACTACTGTTAACTTTACCCGTCTGTTTCTTTTAAGCGTTGTGTGTGTGGGGGGGGGGGGGGGGGAGGAGAGATATTGAGTTTATAATTATTAACAGCTCATTGTGATTGCAAAGTGGATGATCTAAACCAAGTAATCAGCATATGACATTAAGTATGACAGCTGATTCTAAGATTCTAAAGTGTTCACCAAAAATGCAACATATTCCCCATGTACACTTAACTCGCCTGTTTTTCTTAGGTTCATTTTTTTTTTAAATTTCTAGTTCGTTGATCTTAAATGTTTTAAAATTTACCTTTCCAGTACTTTAATAACGTTTTGAAATCTAGGGAACAGATCTAGGTCAATAACATTCTTTTCTATTTTCTACGCAGTTTTTTTAACAAGGGAGTAGATAACGACCTGGACGTGTTCCCAGTTCTAGCCGGTCACTATCTCACATGCCTATCTACATTGAAATTCTTCTTAAGATTTTTATTTTTCGGACTAAAAATTATTTTTTTCAAGCTCCGGGTAATGTTTATAAAGGATTACTTTATTAAAAAGGCATTTAACAACTAATTTCTATTAATAATAATTATTTTTCTTTTAAAACAATTTCCAAATATAAAGAAAAACTAATTTTAATTTTTTTTCATTTAAACATATACTCAAACCACCCTCCCTACCCACCTACAGTCTGTTCTTGAATTATGAGCTCCATATGTTGCCCCATTCAATAATTTAACAGTTACATGCTGTGGTCTACAAACATACACGTTTAGCTCTTTCAATAATGACATCAAATGTGATACTAATGATTACAATCACACTGTGTTTAAATGATTTTTTTTCTCTCAAGCACAGCACAGAACGTGATGACCACACTTTGAGGTCAAGAAACATAACAACTTCATCTGCCCAATGGGTCGCTGGGTTTAAAGAGGATTCTTTACTTTACATTACAGAACGAGGAAGTTAGGGTTGTGAAAAGATTCATCACATAAGTTGTTAAAACAGAATTGTTACAAGTGGGAGACCACTAGCAATTTTCATCTATATTCTAACTTCTTATAGCTTAGAGGGGAGGCCACTTGGCTAACAGAAGAAATCTTTTTAGCTAGAGTCTAGATACTTGCCTATAGGGCTGGTAAGTAGGTCACCAACCAGCTCTACGGCTCAATAAACCTGCATGAGCCATAGAACTGTTTATTGACCTACTTACCAGCCCTATAGTTAAAAGAGGGAGGTAACTAGCAGTAGAAAATGTGTTTGACTTACTTTCCAACAGCTGTTCCATTCCAACACGTGTCACTCTGCATCTCCTGGTCGTAGAGCGAGGGCCGGCGACACAGACCATCGGCGAGTTGCTGCAGGAAGAACTTGGAGTCCTCTAGTTGCTGGACCAGGGTGCTGATGTCGTTACGGGTGGCCTGGAGGTGGGCGGAGGGGGTGTGGGGGGTGTGGTGGGCGGGGTTAGTGAACTTCTTGAAGACTTTTTCTTTGTTGGTGTCGTTGGAGGACTTGTTGCACAGTCTCAGTGTCTGATGATGAACAGAAGGTACGGTATAGGTACAGCACAGTACAGTAGTGGGTACATTCAATGATGGGTACAGTATTAAGTAGTGCTGACAAATAGGTAAAATAGTTTAGTACAGTGAGTATTGGCTACATTCTGCGACATATAGTGTAGGAACTATACAGTAAAAATGTAAGTGCGAGGCGTAATGTAGAGTAAAAATCTTGACATTGGCACGGTAAAGTGGAGGATAATTGCAGTATAACAATGGTACAGTGTGTGTTAAGTACAGTACACCAATGGTACAGAGGGTGATGGGCCAAGTACAGTAGTGTTGAGAGGTACAATTTAAGAGTATAGTATTGATTCGTTTACATTATATAAACATTATTAAAAACATTTGCGTGCATATCGACACAACTGTATTTGTTTTAACTACACTACACTGGTTATGGTTATGGTTAATGTTCATCAACTGTGGTTATTCTTTGTTACTTGTATCATGCTGTTTAGCAAACGATGCATTCAATCAAAAAGTGATAAGAAAGTTAATTTATACGTGTGGTAGTATTACATGCATGGTGGAGACAGCCTGGTGTTGTTAGGATATGGGTGGGGGTGGGGTATGGTTGGAATAGGGGGGGGGGTAAGGAAAAAAACAACATCAGAGTGGAAATGTACATAAGTAAACATAAAAGCGCACATTATGACCACATAACCGTAAACCTTTTTTTTTTTAGATGTCTGGGTATTGACGACACAGACGTGAAGAACGCTGTGAGTACCCGTGTTGGGAGGACGACATGACAAAATCATTACGGCAACACGACCCCCACCTACACGACCCCCACCTACACGACCCCCACCAACACGTGTTCTATCGCTTATCGCGGCGATGCAACTTTTTAGCGCTAAGAAAACTCTGCTAATATCGCAGATTATTTTTTTGGAGGGGTGGAAGAGAGGGGTGGAAGAGAGATATTTATTATTTTATGAGTTTATGATCTATGAATTTCATGCTTTTCTCATGCCAATCAGTTCGTTGCTTAGCAACAGTAGTGTTGGTTTTTTTTCCTCCAAAGAAATTGTTTTTAACTGAGTTTTTTTTAAATATATAGACCGACGTTTAGAAATAAAGAGATCGGCAGGATTGGAGGGGGGGGGGGGGGGGGGGTTACTGCAGCTGCCGAAAACGTTTTTTAGAATGGTTGGGGAAGCAATGCTAGCGCTTTCTTTTGATGTCGGGCGATAAACGGCCCTCGCCAGCCTCCTCGGTCACAGCGAATCGTCTTAATAAGTCTTATCACTGTTCAGCTTTCCTAGTGCTTGCTTTAGTTTTTTTCTGTACGTGAGACTTTTTAAAAACCTTTTTTTATTATTATTACCCAGCATGCTTTGTAGCAGTAGCTGAACGTTATTTGTTCAAAGCGTGAGATGATAACGCATGCATGTGCCATTATCTGGACACCGTCCTGAACGCAGAAGGCTACAGCGGTTACGTGACACGTAGAACGTCACCGTGTTGTTTTGTATTGCTAGCACGGCTACAGACGGGACAAGGAGCTGGTGTACATTTATAATTTTACTAGGCATGCTGCCCAGCTTCGCTTAGGCTTTCGAAAACATTGAGAATTTGCATGCTTAATTAATTCGCCCGAGGGTCGGTCTACGACCTCAAGAGTTATGAAGAGGTTTAATCCGTGGACATTTTTTTTCGATTTATAGCTCATATAAGGTACCGGTCAGTCGAGGTCAGTTTTGACCCCCTCATCGTAGACTTTTCGGCCAACCGGCCCCCGTGTTCTGTCGCCCCAAGGCAAGATCCTGCCAAAATTGAAGCGCCTGCGGCGCCGGGAAGTGCCCTATCGGACACCCGACAATCTAGATCTAGATCTAGATTCCTAAAAGAATTTTTTTTTAAGTTTAGCCCGAGCATAATAAAAATAAATACATTAACCAAGTTGACTTGGTGTGTCTCGAACCCGCACCACCTGCGTGGTTTAATGTACACTAACATCTTCGCTATTTAGGCAGATGACGTCAATAGTTAATGTATAAGCAATAGTGACGTCACAGTTTTATGCGTTCTTTTTCACATATATTAATGCTTTTCCGGTTGCATAAATAATACTGTTTCTCTACATTCGAATACGCCTTAAATTTTTATTTTTCTTCTTTAAATAAAATTGTGGTTATACATTTAAAACATCTAACATATTATTTTCAACAAAAGTCCGTAAAAAATTCTCGATATATCGCTGCCGATTCTGACGTGATGTCCGGCGAAAATTTTTTGCGGACAGAGAAAGAGAGAGAGAGAGAGAGAGATGTGCGCACATTGGGCTTTTATAAATTAGGATAGGCGAAAACTTTGATGGAAGTATATAAACTTGTACCTAACAAACTACTAAAAATCCAAATTAATTTAATTATTTTTTTTGGAATTTTTTACAATATACAAAAATAAATAAATAAATAAATAATTAAAAAAAAACGAGTCAGGGTTTTTTTGCCCTCTGTTTACTTAAAAAAGTTTTTAATTTTAATAGATCTAAGAGGTTTAAATAAACTTAATTTTGTGTCGAGTAAGATGCGGTTTAAGGGAGATATGTAACTGTAATTGGGGGTAATAGGCAGTTTTTGTGTAGATAAGGGCTAGTGGGCAAATATGGGCAAAAAGGGCAGATAATTTTTTTAAAAAGACAGACACGTAAATCGTGAGAAGCGCCACTCACATGGTGACGTCACGTGGTGAGCTGTCACCAAAAACCGTTAGATTCAAACCGACCACATCGCGTCTTATTATACACACATTTATCACCAGCCTGTGTTTTTGTTTACATGCAACTCGAGATAAAATTTTACCCTCGACAAAACGGCGTTTTAATAGCGCTAAATTCACATCTCTGCTGGAGCTCGTCCCCACATCACAAGACCCGGGGCACACGCCCTACTGAGTTACGTCACCGTCAAAGGGGCAGCAGATACGCTCGGGAGATATACGTCCTCGCCTTCCATGCGACCACGGCCGTAACTCGCGAGTTATCTTTGAAATTGCGCACCGGATAGGCGCAGATGCAACCGACAGAAAAGAAGGAGAGCCTCCATTTTTTTTTCAACACAAGTATGACGTCACACGCTAGAAAACGAAAGTGGTTTAAAAACTGTGATGGGATAAATGCAACGGAAATAGTTTGAAAGTGTGATGAAAATTCGTAATCGCTGGTATCACATAATTTAAATTTTAATCATAATCTTAAGACCAACCCTAACTATAAACCTATTTAAGAAGATCAACTATCGTACTCGGTAATTTCATTATACGAATAAGTGTGACGGCTATTGGATAAGAAACTTTTCTGCATACATCAAAACTCCGTTTCAGTGAAAGATTAATTAGAACTCATTTGGGGCAGGAGATATCTAAAGATACTCATCAACCTTACAGGAAAATAAATTCTGCCATCCGATACCAGGTACTCATTTAAGCTGAGTAAGCTCACATGTTCCCTTCCTTGAGGTTCAAGAACGTCTGCTTTCAGCTTCGTGCCTCTCGATCACGTGATACTTCCAAATTACGTATTTAAATTTGTGGGTCACGGCTATTGATCAGCCGGAAGAAACGAAACTTGGAATAAAAGATGCACGTCGGCTTGAAACAAATGATTTAAAGGGACGTAACCTCAAGGAAAAAAAAAAACTCCGGATTTTGAAAAAAAAATTCATTTACGAAATTAAATTAACTTTGAAAAGAAATGTATAAACTTTAAAATTCGGATAAATCTGTAAACAATTGTGGAAAAAAGGTTGCGTTTGTCTACATCCATCCACCCCCCCCCCCTTACTTCCCTGATACATACGCTTAATGAGTTAATGCTTTTATGTAAATACGCAAGACGCGAAGGAGAAAATGCATTCCATTCAAGTCACACATCGGAATTTCAGATTTCCCAGAGATAAATCAAACAAAACTAGGATTAAACGGAAAGCAATAAAAAATAGTTTATCTGTCTTTCGCTTATTTTTTTAAAGGGGCATTACGTGGGGGCGGGGTGGGGGGGTGTCCTAACCCTACACGCAATCTGATTTCCATGTCACTGGGGAAGACAAAGGCGCGCGAGGGCCGGGGATGGGGGAGATAATTCGATACAGGTCCCCTGGATTAAAACTTAACCCTTTTATTTAGTTTATTTTTAGAGCTACTTCCGGAATAGAGGCGAATCAAGATGGCGGGCTGTGTACACATTTTCTTACGCAGCCCAATGTATTATTTAAACAGAGAATTGTGGGGGATTTTTAAAAAAAATTCACGGTTTTATTGAAATAATTAAGGAAAGTAAAAAATGTTTTAAGCACTTATTGTAAAATAAAATGTGTTTTAGATGAACGCCCATGCATTTATTTTTGTTATTTTAAAGGCAGACGATTTACATTTGAATAACAACTGTCAGAGCGAATTTCTTGTCAATATCAGAACGTATCACTTGCTTATGTCGGAATGTCACAACGTATCACGTGCTAATGTCGGAATGTCACAACGTATCACTTGTCAATATCAGAGCGTATCACTTGCTTATGTCAGAATGTCAGAACGCATCACTTGTATAAGCACCAACAAGCACACGCGTAATTCCAGCCCTCGTTCTACCATCGGCAGCAAAAAAAAACAACAACCCAACCCATCAGGATCAATAGCGCCTATCAGTAACAGCACATTTATCACCGTCATAAAGCAGGCATCAGCAAGCGACAGGCTTTCAGGTCAGCGAACCGTTAAACGCCAGATCAAAACGTAAACCGATTTCAAGTCAGATAGTCAAGTGGTCTTCGATCTGTTCGACCTTTACCAATCATCATTTGAACCATTAGAGAATGAAAAAAAGATGAGCCGTTCAGCCGTTCAGAATACGAAATCAGCACACACAAATTTAATCAGTGAGGATGGCGATCCGTGTCTTGGCCCTAAAGGTACGTGTACCCTGGGGGTACGTCTATCCAACGGTACGCCTATCCTGGGGTACGGCTACCCTGGGGTACGGCTATCCAACGGTATGCCTATCCTGTGGTACGGATACCCTAGGGTGCGCTTACCCTGGGGTACGTCTTCCCTGGGGCTGTAAGGAGACGAGAATCAGATTTAAGCTTTGTTTCAGACCCAAAATATCCGAGTATTACCCTTTTTTTTTAGTATTAGCCTATTGTAGAAAGCATTAAGCACACATGTGTCTGAGGGAGTAATAGGCTTCAAACTTATTTTTCTAATTTCAGAAACCGCTAAATCAAATTCAAACTCCTGCTTTCAAATTGTTCCATTTGCCGCTGAAATTTGTTTTCTTTAAATAATTTTTTTTAAACTTTATTCCCGCGTAGCTGCGAGCGGTTGCTTCAGATAGGGATTATACAAGATAAACAACGTTTGCACTATTTCTAAACGCATCTAAACACAATTCTTTTTTAACACGACAGGTTAATTCCCTTGCTAGTCGTTAACTCGAAGCCTAATCCAAAACCTCGTTAAATCCTCGTGTTTAATTGATACGGTAATTCTTACATTATGCGTGGGTGTTTTGGGAGAAATGTCTCACTCTCCCCGCACACTCTCACACACACACACGCCCTCACACCTGAACTCCCCTCCCAGTTTCCTTCAATAAACTATCGCAGATAAATCCAACACACGAGCAAGAAGACACAATGATCTACTTATAAGGTGACTCATTGTTTACACGTTGTTGTTCTATTCATTCTTCTTTCATCGAGCCTGTGGTCAGGTGTATACACGAACACCGAGGGCCACCCTCCTATCGTGTTGCTAAATTCCCAGCATCGCCGTGTCTCCTCCTGATCCCCACCAGATAAAGCCCCAACCCTGCATTAGCTTAACAAACTCCAGCTAACGATTTGAAATTACACCCCACCTTTCCACACACACACCCACCCCTCCACACACACACACACACCCACACACACACCCCCACACACACACACCCACCCCCCCCCACACACACACACACACACCAGCGTTAAACAAAAAAAAAGCCAAAAATGGAAACAGCTTCCACGATTTTATGACACTTGACTTTTAATTAACTTAAAAAAAAACAGTAATTGCTCAACAGCTACATCTGTTTTAAAAGAAACAAATATAATATTTTCCCCCCACTAATGCTGCAGACACTGACGTCACAACGGTAATTATTTTAAAAAAGAAAAATTACACCAGCAGTTTTTTTTTTTCAGTGTAATATTTTTGTTTTGTTTCAAATAACAGGAGCTAAAAATGTAACGTTACATTCTAAGCTTGTAGCTTTCATTCATCAAGGACTTGAGTCTAACGCTTAGATTACTTTATGGCCGATATAAAACAGTAGCAGAAAGTCACATTTTTCTTTCATACCTAATGATGGTGTATTTACAAGTCATCGTGGAGCCGGCAGTGGATCTAGTAAGATTTCATAAAGCGGGTGGATGTAATAGCATGGAACAGCTGACCTAGTAAAATGTCAGTGCCGTGGGAGAATGTAATAGCAATGTAACAGCCAACGAAGACAATGGCGTGGTTTAAAAAGGGCTAGTGCGACGTGTACAATAAAGGGGTCTAAAAGGACGGTTAGTGAAACCCCTAACCTACACAATGAACATCTTAAAAATGGGCTTATGATACCGATCACCTACACAATGCACGTGGCCGACAAGGGCTTTTGTCCCATTCAAATGATGACGCCAATACGAGCCCCTGAATATCACCTGGTCTTTTGTCAAATCAACCACCAAATCGCAGAAAGGGCACGCTACCCAACCAACATTATAGGAAAGGGCAGACTACCCACCCAACATTATAGAAAAGGGCATGCTATCCACCCAACTTTATTGCACATTTGCCCCAACACGTTATCTTTTCATCACGCCCCACGACGGGGTGGCCGAGGGCTAATATGATTGTGTTTGCGCAGGTCAGGAAGCTGAATGGAAATACATACAGACGATAAATATGCTGTCCGGCGCGCAGACGAACTTTGAGACGAAATGGCAGACATCAGCAAACACACCAAGTTGTCATATAAATAGATATAGAAATCTGACAGCTTATCTCAATCTTATGGAATATTTTATGCTTTTTCGATCTCTACGTTGAAGCGAATTATGTGGTGGACTCAACGACGGCGGACTGACTTTAACACGGAAACAGAACCGGAGACATTCAGGTCAGTGTTCGTATGCTGTAGACACTATCGCGAGTTAAACTCTACTTCAACTGCCCTACGAACTATAGGATCTTTTTTTAAAAAATAAGCACGTAATGAATTACATAGAGTCATTTTTGTCGTGAACTTACTTTTTCCTAATTGTAACATCGAGAAAAAAGTGAAATTTTTTTAAAAAATCTATGTGACTTCCAATTTCACCAAATTTTAACCCTCAATAAAACAACAAACACAGCACAAGATTCACCCCTCGCGTTACGCTCGCCCACAGTTGACACAGTCCCCCTTGAACGCAGGGCCATCAACCCACCAAAATTACAAAAATCACCAACCCGTTTTTATGGTTGGCTGTCGTGTGCTGGGTGGTGCGCGGAGGTCTCCGGTTTCAGATATACGATCGCGTAATGTCGATCGCTCATTAATATTGCATTCAATGTCTCTTCCATCCCGTTTCGGTTGGCTGGTCACCGTTACCTTGGTTACGGCGTTATATAATTGGCTTCAACTGTCTTGTTTTCCTGTACTCATGGCTTTAATCATGCCTATATATGTATGTATGCATATATTTGTATGCCTATATTTGTACCTATATTTATATAGGACATTCCCCCCCCCCCAGTTGTTTACGCGAGAATCCAAGCAATCTATAAAATACCAGAATTAGGATGACAGTATAAATAAGCAAATAGTCGCATTCCATCTGGAACATTTACTTACCTAAACCAATATCCCTAAACCCCTTCGTAAAAGGTTTAGTCCGTGTCAATTAGTAATGGACAGGGTGGTGGGGGGACGGACGGAGGGGGGGGGGTCAATGTTCTACTATAATTTTCAGACAGGGGGTGTATTCACCTGGGTTAATGTCAGGAAGAAGTGGTAGGGAGGGGGTGGTAATTGACACGGGGAGCGTCCGGCTCCTACCCAAATCCTAGCTACGCCACCGTTATAATTAAAAACTTATACTCACTACTTGTTCTATCACCATCACTTAACTCCCCACTCAAAGAAGAAAAAAAAACATCTGTAATTTTTTTGTTTACCAAGTACATTCTTCAAGTTCGTACTTTAACAAAAAAACCCAAGGACACATACTTTACTGGTGACGTAGCTACTTCATTAAGCCGGGCACTTGCCACGTAGCATCTTTACATTACAGAGTCGGTACATGAGGAGAGGGGGGGGGGAAGAAAAGGCGGATAATAAAGCTGATTGACTTGAGTGATGTGAATTACTAATTAAGGGATTAGTCTATGGTCTTGGAGAAAGAAAAAGTTGATTTAAAAAGTTGAGTGAATTGAATTAGAGTTGAGGTATGAGTTTGCGGAGTGAATGTGAATTAAAGTTGAATAATTATTTGACGAGGTTGAGTGAAAAGGTTTCGTGAAGTGAACGGGGGTGGGTGGAAGGTGGGGGAGGGGGGTATGTTGATAGTGTGATAGTTGAGGAGTATGTTGATAGTGTGATAGTTGAGGAGTATGTTGATAGTGTGACAGTTGAGAAGTATGTTGATAGTGTGACAGTTGAGGAGTATGTTGATAGTGTGACAGTTGAGGAGTATGTTGATAGTGTGATAGTTGAGGAGTATGTTGATAGTGTGACAGTTGAGGAGTATGTTGATAGTGTGACAGTTGAGGAGTATGTTGGGAGTGTAACAGTTGAGGAGTATGTTGATAGTGTGACAGTTGAGGAGTATGTTGATAGTGTGACAGTTGAGGAGTATGTTGATAGTGTGAACGTGAAGGTCAGGGTAAGTTTGGATAGAGTGGTGGTGGGTGGTTGGAGGTAATGTGTGTGGGTGGTTGGGGGTAATATGTGTGTGGGTGGTTGGGGGTAATGTGTGTGGGGGTGGTTGGGGGTAATGTGTGTGTGGGTGGTTGGAGGTAATGTGTGTGGGGGTGGTTGGAGGTAATGTGTGTGTTGGTTGTTGGGGGTAATGTGTGTGGGGGTGGTTGGGGGTAATGTGTGTGTGGGTGGTTGGGGGTAATGTGTGTGGGGGTGGTTGGGGGTAATGTGTGTGTGTGGGGGTGGTTGGGGGTAATGTGTGTGGGGGTGGTTGGGGGTAATGTGTGTGTGTGGGGGTGGTTGGGGGTAATGTGTGTGGGGGTGGTTGGGGGTAATGTGTGTGTTGGTTGTTGGGGGTAATGTGTGTTGGTGGTTGGGGGTAATGTGTGTTGGTTGTTGGGGGTAATGTGTGTGTTGATATTCCTAATTGGGGAGTATGTTTGTACTTCAAAGGTGAAGGTCGGACGCATGTGCTGACGTGTTAACTGTGATTGGGTAACACGTTGGTACTGTGACGGTCGAAGGCGTGTGGTGATACAATCAAGGTCAAGGTTACCTCGTTATAGATCCGCAGGCTGTCGTCCATCGAGTGGAGCAGAGCGTCCGTGACGTTGCCGTCCATATAGGAGACGAACTCCTCGGCGTTGTGCTGCTTGACCATGACCAGGTGCAGGTTCTGGAACCCGGACACCACGTCTATCCAGGCAGACGACAGCTCGGTCACCTTGGCCAGGCAGCCCCTCATCACGTTGAGACACAGCCCTCGGCACGGCTTCACCTCCGCCTCCCCGCTGCACAGCGAGCAGAACTCGAGACGGGTGACGGCGCGCCGGCACTCCGAGTCGACGTCCACGTGGTCGGTGACGTTGACCGTGTGCACCATGACGTTGAGCGACTCGGTGAAGATGCGGGCCCGCTGGAAGGCGTAGGTGACCTGTTTCTCCAGGTACAGTGGAATGTTGCCAAAAGGTTTGATCGAATCGTAGTTCCTGGCCAGACAGCCATAGAACTCTTCGCCAAGGTGAGCCGTCTTGGAGGGGTCGCCGATGACGTACTCGAACACGAGAGGAAACAGGTTCTTGAAAAATTCCTTCATGGTATCCGACATCCGGGTCTCGCTCTCGTGCAACAGGTACCGGCGCAGACCGTGGAAAAACGAGTCGAGGACTTTTTTGTGGGCTTCTCGGGGTATTTTATACCACGTGGTCAGTTTGTCAGAGGTCCGTGTTTGAGCGTCTTGTAACGTTTGGCGCAAATGTTCTGGAAAAACAAAAAAAATGAACTTTTAAACATAAAATGGCATTTGTTGTTAATTTGCTAAATTCAAAGCTATGATTTTTACGAGAAATTTTCAAATAATTCGTTTCCTTATGTTAAATGTGAGGAGTAATTAAATGATATTTTGTTCTCATACTATATGCAAACTCAATTAAACAAGATTGTATCCGGGAATTATTCCAATCATGATTAACAAAATCACTTCATGTAAACATTTCATACATAAGCGAACAGAAATATAAAACATTGTTTCCATTCTATTCCAAATTTTAAAAACTCACAGGAAACATTTCAATACAACATTCACTTTCGTCATCAAATTTACAGCAAACATAATTAATTTTTTCCTCCCTTGATCTTCTTCAACCAAGGTTTCCTAAATATTAATGAAGTTATCTTAATTGATTCCTTTTTTTCCCTCACGAACCAGCAATTATTTTTTTAGCCCTCGCCCCACATCTCGTCCCCCCACCCTCCACGAGGATCGTAACGTGGCAGGTCATGACCTCCAGGCTAGATCAGAATATCCACCCATCAGCCATTTCCAACAGTTATTTTTTTAAACACACGTCACGTGCATCCATTCGGCCAACCAGAGATCTTCCATGACGCTGGTCATGTTTAACGGTTGTACCGGGAATATTATAGCAGGGGTCGGGGGGTGGCGATTAGACGCGTGGGTGTCGTTTTGACACAATGCGTTCTTTTTATTTATCCCATGTGCATTTTTACCCTGAGCGACGGCGGACTTTGAACGTGTGTAACAAAGGGCAATTAAGTCCAAGAATAAAGAAAATACCCCCGTCCCACCCCTTTTCTCTTTGCTAATGCATAAACTCGATTAAAACATTTGCACACCACAGGCCCTTAATTGCGTGAGTAACGCCTGGTTCAACACTGATGCAGCGCTGTGCTGGTGAAAAAAAGCGTGTTGTAGAGTATTGGCGCATACAACACGTATTTGTATATGGCAATATACATTCATAAATACACAAAGTGTATTGGACAAAAGTTCAGAGTGAGGGTTTGTAAATGAGGATTTGTATATATAGGCCTATATATAAATATATTAAATGACGTGTTAAAGATACCCATACAGACACACTTGAGAGAGATAAATAAGAGATAGGATCAACATAAGATTAAAAATCCATCGATACATTTCGGGCAAGTCTCCTGTTGAGTTGAACTAAAAAAAAAGGGGGCTTGATCCCTTCCAAAGATAGCGGTCACCTTTTTGAAGTGAATACATTTTAGTTAACCAAGTATCACTTGGGGGGGGGGGGGGGCAAAGTTTTAACTTGAGGATAAGTTTGCCAAGTGGTGAAAAAAAAATGGAGGGAACTGGGCGGAAGTAAGGCGTAAAAATAGATCTGTTTAGAAAAGAGATTTTTGTTTCTTTAAAAAATCGTTTAAAAAAAACCCTCCACTTTACCACGATCGTCCCCCCCCCCCCCCCCACCACTTTCAACCATCGCCCCACATTCTTAAAGATTTGTGTTTTTAATTGTTCCATTTTTACAATTTCCGTTTCATTTTTTTTTTAAAACTGTTGCCAAGTTTCATAATCGTGAACTTTGTTAATAGAAAAAACACATCGCAATGTGGGTGTACTTTTCTTTTCATGTGTTATTTTTTAGGGAAAAAAAATCCCTAGTTTTAAAGAACAAAGGCGACGTCTGACCGTTAAATTAGGACCGTTATTAAGGTCAAGTACCGGGGGAAATTAGCCTCGCTTTCAACAATTTTAAACAAAAAAAAATTCTTTAAATCTTGTGACGTCAGAAAACTCCGGCCATTTGACGGACAATGAAGGCGGACGTCTTGGAAACAGACGGCGCGATGACTTTTAGTGTCCTTCGGAGACAAGACTTGATTCACCCCCCCCCCCCCCCCCCCCCGACCCATTTCTACCCCAGCCCCCTGTCAATCAGATCCGAACGGCGATTTAACGTCTGGACGTATAAAAAAAACCGGTGCCAGTTAATCCGATTGGTAGTCGGTCTATATACAGTGAGTAAGGGCGGGGAGGTGAGGGGGGGGGGTGTATAGGTCACTTGGTACTTATGGTTTGATTCCAAAAAAATTTTGATGGGCATTTTTTTAATCTTAACTTAAGGTGTTTCGTGGGTCATTGCTGCTAATCTGACGTCGTTGTCTTTGTTACAGACAGCCGGACAGAAAAGCTGACAAACAAGCAGACGCACAACAGACAGACATGCAGACACACAGCCAACATGACATGCAAACATCCGCACCCAAAGAAATCAATTTCAGAATTATTTTTTTTTTTTGAAAGATTATTGGGGCGAGTGTACTAAAATAAAACCTAATGCCATTAATTTCCTGGCATATCTTAAGGGGGTAGAAGAAGTATTTTGTTTTTAAAAAGGGGGATAACTTTCCCCACTAAAAAAAAGAAAAAAACAAAACCGTAACTCCCAAGAGAGCACGACAGAAAGTAAAACTATGCCTGCAGGTGTATCGAAGATATTTCACGTCGATGACAACACTAGTGCTGCGCATCGCTCAGCGGGAATATCCGTTTTAAGTCGCACGTTGGAGATGCGCAGCAGAACTGAACAATCTTAACGACATCTTTTAATTAATTATTTTTTTTTAACAATGCGATAAATATTGATTATGCTGACAAAACTCGTTGGATGGTTATCCTCTGCTTCATTTAGTTTGAACTATGTTAAAACAGGAATTTAAGCGTGTTTGGTTTTTGGCTAAGGCAAAGCAGATTTGCAGAGTTAGGTAGCGATAGTGTTTAGGGATTGTTGTGATCCAGGGGTGGAGTGTATGGCCGTAAGCCAGTTGGATGTGGTTCGAAAACCAGTCTATAGATAATACGGTGCCACGCTGATACCTGTTATAAATATATACATGAATGTGTGTAGTCTGTGGGGAGGGGGTTGGTGTGTGTGTGTGTGTGTGTAAGACTGGCCTGTGTGAGCGTTGGTTAAGTAAGGTAGGCCATTCCGGCTTGCCTTGAGGCCGCCCCTTGTAAAATTATGAATGACATGTTAGATTGTCTCAATTTGTAAAAGCTAACGGTAAGAGATGTTATCTTCGTCTAAAAAAATGTTTATGGATAGGATGACAACAAAAATCCCTTTGCTAACTGAATAGATTAGCATAAATTAATACATCTTGTCAAAATATTTACATGACGTAAAAATAAATTAGAATTCCGATAATAAATTTTTCTAAAGCATGACACAACGCCGTGTGCCCTGTGGTGTTGACTGAATAGAAACATCGCTCCCAAGACTTGAATTAGACCTGACGAGTCCGCTAGATCAACACAGCTAGCCGCTAGTTGAAGAGATAAGGCAGAGACCGAGACCCTGGTCGAGTGTACGTGTGACGTCAAGCGTGAGTTCAGGTGACTGGAATTCACTCAAATACAAACACACCGACAAATTTGGAGGCGGTTTAAAAAAACGGAGAGGGGGGGGGGGGGTGTTATCGCCAAGATCAATTTAGCAGCTTCTTCGTATGGCGAAATGCCCGGCCTTGAGGTTGACCTTCGTCAGATGGTTTGAGTTGAAGCCAAGATGATTTAACAGGAGGGAGGGGGGATGGGGTGTACACTTTTTTTTTGTTAGCAGCAGTGGTTATACAGTACAGGCATTTTAATTTAGCTTGGATGTTGAGTCTATAGTTTTCAACGGTTATCTACACAAGTCCTAAGTCGAATTACAACGGACTTAAATACATGTCAATAGTTTACAAACGTCGATGAGCGATTGTTTTAGCTTTTTTTTTTCAAACACATTTTTTTAGAAGAATGAGTTAAACAAGATTAAACATCACGAGTCTAAGTCGAATCTTAAGGATCATCGAGTCAGGATAGGGATATTCGGGTCAAGAGGGTGGAAAACACGGAGACGATGGGCAGAAGGGGAGGGGGTCAAGTGCTTTTACTTCTCGATCACGGTTCATCTCTTTGACACAGTTAATCTTGATAATTTTTTTTTTACTTCTGTGAAAATTTAAATTGTAACAAGGATGTAGTTGGGGTTAAAGTTCGCCACGTTAGGACTCCTCCATTCCTACTCAAGACAAAATGGCAAGACAGGTGTTTTAAAAATGTCTTTAAGGAATTTTTTTTTTTAATGAAGAACATTACCCTATACAACACGCAAGTAACCAACGCTTTAAAATACAGCGGGTTAAAGGGTTACATTAAAACTAAACTTTGGAATTTTTGTTTATATTCGGGCAGAATACAGGAAACGTGGAAAGTATTAGATTGAGCTGTACACACCAATAGTGATACAATTACAGTAGCAAATCTACTGTATTAAATTAAAGAACAAGTAGCAGATATTTAAATGTTATGTTAACTCTACTAAAATGCAGCTACCTATTATCGAACATCTCAAGCAAGAGTTGCCCCGCTTCCAGCGCTACAATAATTAAGAGCAATTAAGTCGATGTCAGCTGTTAATAATTAACACGCGGCCACTTTGGAAGAGAAATTTAATTGACTCCCCGAGGCTTTCAAACATGTCGGACAACCTGCCGGACAACCTGCCGGACAACCTGCTGTTGGTAATAAACGAATTACTTGACCATTGGGGTAACAGGATGGAGTTAGGGTTTCTTTCAGACAATTTTCTCAAGGGGATGGGGATGGACTTGAAACTTGGGAGAGATAAACACTTGAAACTTCCGGAAAATTATTACAGTATATTACAGTATATTATTTCTATAAAAATTATATTTTTCTTTATTTCTTCCTGGTGGGGCGCAGTACGTGTTATTGGGTTGGGGGAGGGGGGGGGGGGAGAGAAACCTGAAGGAGACAATGGTTCATTTTCCAAGTTAACACATTTTATTCCAATTAAATGTTTGTTTATGTAAACTTTTTATGGTACAGATTTTACTGTATTAAAAATTATTTGGCTGATACTAACTTTATTACAGCCAAGTTTTTAAAAATTTGTACTGTATTAAAAAATTATTTGGTT